AGCAAGAAAATTGAAATGAACGACCCATACAAATTTGCACTATAATAATCCGATTACGTCGACACTAAATAGCTGGTTTCTCACTTTTATTATAAGTCGATTTTAAGCGTTAAGAGAGATGAAATGTTTAACACACTATACATATTGAAACGTAGAGTTCAACATTACTCAGAATAATTCAATAATTACAATAAAGAAAACTTGTTTACCAATATAATTGATAAAAAAACCCGAAAGGAGATAATTGATTATTTCATTTAATCATGAAGTACGTCACATATGATTTTTAATACATATTCAATAATAAATAATTTACTTTAATTCTTAATTTCTTGGTTTTGAAGTTATTTATATTTATAAGTTATTGCAATACACATCGGATAGTAGAATCATTTGCTTACTAGTATCAACATTTTTGTTCCAAAGTGATTTTCTTAAGCGGCAGACCCTGTAACACATATAACTCAACTTTGACGATTTATTTTCACGGTTTATCTAAAATCTTCCACAGCAAAGCGTATAATCGCTCGCTTGCGATCGACTTAAAGAAGACCAGCTTATACAAGCAAAACTTCGAATCACGACATGCATAGTACAAACGATAAGGGGCCTCGATCTAAAAAGAAATGGAAAAAAGCATATCGAGCTGCTATAAAATTTACCGCTACGCATCGGGCGCATTAGAGAAACTCCAAGGCACATAAATAACGCAGAGCGCGCGAGCTTGATCACCTGTGCCCAAGGGTAACGTTTCGATTCATAATTGCAAGAAATAAACGCGCTCACGCATTAGATGCCCATCGCCACCACCATCGGGCGTACTCGGGAGCATGTTGTTGTTTCTACTTTTACACACATTATTATTACGCATCATAGCTTCCGCTCGGCCTCAAGCCCATAGTACATTTTTTGTTTCGTCCAGCACGCGAGCTCTATTATTTTTTTTCACAAATCTATATAGTCGTAATACAGTGCATTATTTGAAACAGTGGATGCTTGCAGTGCCACTCCTTTTCGCAAGTAAAAAGAGCAAAAGAAGAAAATTGACGCAACGACTATTATATTTGTGTTAGGTACAGAGCAAGAAGTTGAAGTTTTTTTATTGCGACGACATTTGCAGCTTTTCTTTCGTGTTTATATCATAGTGAACAAGCCAAGTAAATTTTTTTTCTACTCTGCACACAGATAATTCACTTTTTATGCTCATCTGAAGCCGAAGATTGTTGGCGAGCTTATTCGATCAATCGAAAAAATGTACATAACATTTGACGAGTCGTTAATTATTGTCATATTTTCAGTTATCTATGAAGAAAATAAAATTCTCGGTAATAGGAGGAACGATCAATACTCAAAGAGATTGCTTACTGAAGATAATAGGTTCATGTGTAATATCGAGGGTTTCTATAATATCCAGTAATAAAAAAACTATACAAATCCAACAAATAAAAACGAAAACTCTTTTAAAAAATAAACCATTCAAAATGCAACTACTGGGATCTCGTTTATAGGCACCAGACAAAAAGTTAATTAATTTACTCGAGCGCGTTGTGACACTCTGTAGAGGATTGTACCTGTGCGCACAGGTATCGGGCAGACGCCAAAAAGTTGTAGTGGAGGTGGCCGGTGAAGTTATGAACACTCTTTGTGGAGCACAGGTACACGATCGAAATGACGTTGTAGTTCTTCACAAAAATTGATAAATGAGCATTTAAAGCTTACATGTTAGGTTTTAGACCATTATATATTTATTTATTTATTTTTTTTTATAATATTTTCCAGTACATATTTCGTTTGTCTTCTTTTCTTTTGTGCTATTTTTAAATCTCTACAGCCATTTCATATTAATCTTTTTCGCTTTTCGATGGTTATCTTCTTTGGTTTTAACTTTTTTCATCTATCCGTTTGGTATCTACTCTCATTCGCTAGATTTTTGTTAATTTCTATCAATAAACGAGATTTGCTTCACTACTACTGAAGTACTTCATCTGCACGTGTATCGGCAAAAGATTTTATTCCTCAATTATTTTTTCATTCCATTAGTCGTCTCATTGGTATTTTATGGAATTTATTTTTTGGCCTCGAGCTGATTATCTAATGTTGTACTTAGCTGCATCAAGCAGAAAAAGAAGAAGAAAAATAAAAGGACGAGGGAGACTCAAAACAGTAGATTGCATATTACTCCTAGAATAATTCCTCTGCATTATGAACATGTGCATTCTCAAGTTCAATTAGAAAGAGAACGAAAATTAGAAATTATATCGAAATAGTGCAAATCATAGATATACGAATAGACGACGAAGCAGCCTCTCAAATATTCTATATACACACATTAATTTTCCTTCTGCTCGGTGGTACTAGTGCTACGGTATCGTCTTTATCCTCGTTCAGATAAAGCCTCGACGTGGTTCGTGTTGTCATTTTAACAATGAAATTTCTACGCGCGCGCTCGCAAATCGCACTCCCAACTGCTTCAATTACTTATATAATTCGCTTGTCTCTTGCTATGCTTGTGCTATCTCTAATGCTGCGCCTCTACGTCATTTCAAAAACTATTAACTTGAGAATTCTGCGTCCTCTTCGTGACAAGATTGAATGAAACTAACTTATGCGCTATATATTGTATACTTGCGAGTTAACGTATTATAATATAGATGACGATAAAAGACGTGTGTTAGATCGTAATCATTAAGCTATCCGATTAGATTCTTTATGTTTTTTTTCCTTTCTCGTAAACTATAACTTAACTACATGACTTTTTTCTTTGTTATAAACTCTCGATGTGCGAAGTGGGAATCAATACATTGTTGATTTATAAAAAATAATCGTAGCCTACGTCCCAACGTAACGTGCATCGTCATTATAATCTACGATTGTAATCAATTCACAACTTGGTCAGCAACGGCAGTTTTAAACACGCTCAGTTTCGCTTCGCTAGAATTTTTCTCTCAAGTATTGCATGAAAAATTAAGGAGGTTGTAGCGATGCAAGGTGGTTCTGTATTAAAGTGCTACATGCGCAAGGCTATATGCGTTACGCAGCGGCCAGCGTTAGCATGGCAGAACATAGGGAAAAAGTGTTGGACTCTTAATATCTTTTTTATTTGCCTGGAAACACCCATTTATAATTATATCATTCGAAAGCTAATGAAATTTCCTATAACATATGTTAATTTCATTAACTTGTAAAGAGATTCGAGCTCACAGTACACTAACAACTGCCACTTCCCATTTGATTCAATGTTAAATGGCCAAAACTTTGAATTTCATTATTTTCCAAATTTGCATGGAAACCCCCAATTTTTTTTACCAAAAATCTTGTAATTTCATGAACTATCAGTGGTTAAAATTTCACTCCGGTCTAAAGATTTTTTCAATTTCGCTACAGCCTCCTTAAATAAAAAAATTCTTAACTTTTGTTCAAAATTTGTGTGTTGGTGGGATTCCCATGCCCACCGTGCACCTCAACGTCACAAATGGTCGAATTAGTCGTAGGAACGATGTGCCAGTAAAGTACGCTTGCCACTGATCTGAGCTATTTACCTAAAAGTCGACGAGTATAAAGGATTGGGGCATTTGCTCTGGTCACTGTAACTTTAAACACAAAGTAAAACAAGGCGAACAAAAACAAAAAATATTTATCATGATACCGCAACCAAAAATAACTTTTCTCGTCCCTACAGACAAAAAGAAAAATTTTTGCTGAGGGATATATGAAAAATAATTATGCTAAGCGATGCGCAAGTCTCCTCTGCAAAAATTCAAATTTTCTGTTGTTACCACCGTACCTCAAAATCCATTTTTGTAATTTACATGAAATTTTCAGGGTGCGTTCTAAGATGTGCTGTATAGTTTTTGGTAGTAATCGGAATGCAATTATATGAATTTTTATGCACTTTTGTTGCAATGTGTTGAAATTTATGTTATTAATGCTTATAAAAGAACAATCGAACGGGAAAATTGTCACATTAATGCCCACATCGCATGAAAGCTTCTCGTGAAATCTTTCAAGAAAGCTTCCCATGAAAGATTCCAGAAAGTTTCGAGGTTGATTTACCTGTTATTTAAATGGGGAAAAAGCTGACGCGTGTGGCACTATCTAGAATTAACTTATCGAAATCAGACAGTGATTTTCTTTCATTGTAAGTCAAATGATGAGCTTTCAAGGGGTGAGAGCGAGGATTGGAGCAATTCGGAAAATAAAGGATAGTATACTAACCAGTATTGGTTTTTTGTTATTATTTCCAGTCTTTTGACATTATTGGTCCAAGATAATAAAAAACGATACTGGCCCCCAGTGTTTAACCACTACTGGACCGGAAGAATCATACTGGTAGCTTCTTGCTTGGGAGACTCCATTGTTGATTGTACTTTTACAGCGAATCGCTCTTGCCCAGAATCGAGTTCTGACGGGCGAGTGACGCTGACATAAAAAGTTACTACCTGAGTATAGTATTTAAGATCTTTCATACAGAGAACTGGGGTGCCAGGAAAGCTCTTGAAGATCATTGCAGTGTTAATGAAACTCAGAGAGCGCGTGATCATCCATCAACACTAGTTCGTCGATGCTCTGAGACTTCCTTAAGTACAAAATTTATCGTTGTCTAGTACTGGTTTGTTACGTAATTTATAACAAATTTACCAGAACTGCTTCAATATTAAAAAAAAACAAACAAGTTTTTATTACATGATTATATTCGTATTAATTGATTTTTAAATCGAATTTTTAAAAAAACTCTGTAATCTTGGGCCAGTACTGACCAATGTTGACTAACGATTTTGAGACAGTACTGCAAAAAAATTTTTGTATTATTGGCTCGATAACCGCAACTGGCATTGAGTCAGTATTGCTAACCAGTTCTGGCTTTACTATTATCATTTCAGCATCCAGCTAGTACTAGATCAAGATGAAAAAAACCAGTACTGGCACCCAGTGTTATGCCAGTATTGACCGCTAGTAATTATATTGGCGATTCTTACTTGGCTCTTTATATTGCTATTAAGTCAAGCAAGCAACGAAGCTGAACATTACGCCTGGGATCAAATTATAAAGACGATCACAGGTCCAATGGTAACGTCTCTTGTCGTACCGGATCTGATGCAGAAGGGTTGGGAGTGGAGTGGCTACAACACCAGATGGAATTCTAAAACATGCTCTTGAAGCCGCTATTGGTGAATGTTCGAACACCTTCTGTCATGTTTACACGGCGTACCGCTGTAAGGGATGATTTTTAGCATGGAAAAGGCGGCAAAAGTTTGTCTTGATATTAAACCAGGCACTGCCGTGGAGTCTTTGTTGTACCATCCGCTGTTCATGCTGGATAGCGCGGGCAAGATAAGGAGAGAATAATAGTTTGCTACTTGAAAGCCTAAACTGAGGGTCTCGCAAGACTGGCAGACTCGCAGTTTGAATTCCGTAATAACGATCAACTGTCGATGCCATCCAGAGAGTTTGGAGTATATCCAAAACGGGCATCTAAGAGTTGGGGGATCAAAAAGGGGATGCTGGAGCTCCAAAGGGCTATTTCTGCGACAAAGTATTGGAATTCTGTACAGATAATGAAGAAGAGACTTGTGATATCACAGTGGACGCACACTCAAAGATTTGTACTTGCACCCCTTCCGTCGAAACGTCATTTGCAAGGTCTAGAGGCTGAGGTTGTCAGACTCCTAAGGACAACGACTAGGACACACAACAGACCAACTGTCTTATTCAAGCTACTCTTGCTGACCTCGGATGACAGAAAACTGACCAGAACTTCTGGTCACAATCAGGGACGTGTCGGGATTTCGGTTGTCCTGCTTGATTGGATGTACAACATCGGAGACACAAAAAGCAGCCGATTCAACCATTACATTTACGTCGTCAACTGGATCCTCTTCTTTGGTGCCGTCACATGTAATAATGCAGGAAAGATGTACAATTGAACGTATTTTAGATGTATCATCACCGATTTTAATTAATTATGACGTATTATGTATTTTATTATTGTAACGAATAGTAATTATCAACTATATTTTTAAGTTTACTAAGTAACGTTTTATTATCATTTGTTCAAATTACAAACCTGAAAATTTGATTTTTATAATCACCATACTGAAATTCGTATTAAATTTGGTATACATTTCTGACTCAACAGCTACAGTCCAAGTGCAGCAACAACAATTACCGCTGCTGCTGCGTATAGTATATTATTAAAGCTTCTCTTTTTCTCTCTTTTTCTCTGTTGTGCAGCAAGAGCAAGAGCAACATCCCAGCTACTGTATTGCGAGTCAGAGTTCTCCCCCTTCTTTCTGTTTGCATTCGTTTTTTCTTCATTTTAGCCTACATCACTTTGCTTCTTTTTGCTGCGCCGCGCCTTGACTCGCGTATGCATCTATAGCGCAATTGCGTGTAAGAGAGGGACTTGATGGGTTTCTCTTTCTCCCTCTATCCCTCTCTCTCTTACTCTCAAGCCGGTATATCTGAGTGTAAATGTGTGCGTGACTGCTACTGTGCAATGTTTTTGAGTTGCTTGTGTTATATTTGCGTCGCACAATATGTATATGTACGAGAGTATACTTGGAGTAAAAAAACCGACAGAGTTTATTACGAGTTTGGAGTGAGGGTTCGATCTTGATGGATTCGGAATAAAACGTGATTATTTCGAGATTGTGGCTTTGTTGAGTCCATTTCTTCTTCTGCGCAATTTTATTGTACAAGGGTCATCGAATAAACTAAGAAAATTGAAAATTGATTACTTACTTCTTATATATCCTAGAAATTTATACATAAATTTTTTTCTCTTTCACTAAATTTTCAAAAAATAAAATGCTGCGTTTATTAATAAATCAATTACTGTTGAATAAAATGCGAATAGGTTTTTTGATATTTTTCACCATTGCGTACGATGGTGCACGCTTCAACATTATTATATTGATTCGTTGGTGATATCCGGACACATTAGAGACCTAAGCAAGTAGATATTATACCACAGCATAATACACGCAGCGCGTGCAATAGAAGCCCTACTTACGACAAGCCAGATACATCTCTCGATGATCATTTACCTCTGTGTAGAGTGCAAATATTTGCTACATATATATTTTACTGTTTGCATTAAATACATACGTACAAGGAGAAACTCTGCTTACACCGTCGATCACTAATTATCCATCCAGGACAATTATATACCATTACTCGACCCACGCTGTATCACCACATCTATTTTACATATATGTATGTACATATATGGGCTAAGCCATAGTTAGCGTGATGGTCAAAAAAAATTTTTTTCTTAAATTATGTAGTTTTGAAAAGTACATTGAAAAGTGAAAGTCCTGAAAGTTTCAGGATTTTCCCTAGGTACAGCCCTATTGGATTTTCAGGGCCTTAAGGTTGAATTTTCTTTTTCTGGTGATACTCTGCTTGCAACTCTGATTTTCTGGGATTAATATGAAAAAATTGTTAAACCATGGGTTTTAATGTGAAATTTGAAGTAGAATTCAAAGTTGTACTTAAAAATCATATTAACAACTTTAAAACTCATAAAAATGATATTATCAGCTATTAATCAGCTATTAATAGTATAAATGTCTAAAAATAAATGTGTTCGTCTCCTTCGATTAGGCCAATATTGTAATATGTTTATCGATACATCAAAATACCACGTTTGATAAATTTTGGTTATGGGCAGACAAACAGACTTCATTATTGAGCTAGAAATGAGTCAAGAATCAAGGAAAATGAGAGAAAAGCCATGTTTCTTGACTGATATGATGCGAGGAGCGCTGCTCGACCGTACCCGAGTGTGTTACCAACACAGCATACCCAGCGCGTAATCAGCCTCTAAAGGGCGCGTATGCTGAAAAAAATTTTTTTGACCATCACGCTAACTATGGCTTAGCCCATAATCTAATGTGACTTTGTGTCTATGTGTACTTCGCCTCATTGTATAATGTATATTTTTGATTTTGATGTAATATTTGCTCTTCGCTTGTTGACTCCTCTGCCAGAGTATTTTTTTCTCATCACTTAATGCATCTCTTCCTACTCTTTCAAGCTTTCCTGAGTCAGTTGATGCAATTGTCTTTGCAATCTTATTTTTTTCTTTTTAGATTTGTATAATGCATACAAATTACACGCTTGCAGAGACATGTCTTCTAGTTTTGGTGCATTCGACTTTTCCTTTTACCAAATTTTTAAAAGTATTGTCTACGCATAAAAAGAGTAGAATTTAAAACATTTATTTATTCGGTGATACTCCACATGTATCAGCCCGCGGTGATATCGGGCTTGAGCATTGTGCTTCCTTTTTGTTAGCGCTGCACAAATGTGTACATGTGTGTGCACCTATCAGCAGTCCATCTTTGCTCTTTATCTCTATACTTATTCTCATTTACAAGCGTACGAAACACGAAGCCCGTTAAGAGAAAAGAAGAGAATACGAAAAAAGTGCAATTCATCATATAAGAGAGATATACAAAAGCTGTAGCAGTAACGCCAGCAGAAACTTATATTATATGTACCGGACGAAAAGTAACTTCCGCGCTGCTGGGTATATTTTGCGATTATTAACGTGTTAACTTAGTACCGTTCATGTAAAAAGCTATTTCATTATGTTATACAAAATTATGAACATTGTCTTTTCCATTTGGCAAGTAAGAGACAGAAAAAAGATAAAAAGATGGGATATGACTAAATTTATGAGCACGAATGACTATTCTTCACTGAACGTTTTTTGCTCCAATAGTCTTGAAAAGAACCCACACTTTATGTTGGCTTTAACAGCTTTTTATCGTGAAGTTTGTGCAAAAGCTCAATGAATTAATGAGTTTACCAATCAGTTTAATACATGCATTGAATAAATGTATCATGCATATAACACTGTTTCACTAAATTTCAGATATTGTTAGCAACTGAAATTATGTATAATTTAATACAATTTGTAAGCAAATAAACAAGGAAGTATGGGTCACTATTACATTATTCTCACTCTAAATAATTAACTAACATTAATCCCTTGATATTGAGATATAGATATAGGTCAAAATAATATACTTTTACAAAACCGTACGCACGTATGTCACCGATCTGGACAAGCTTTTGGTATATTACAGTAAGTGATAAAAAGGTCCCAAAAATTGTAGTCCCCCCGTCGTTCCTAGTTTATTAATCAGAGTGGGCACTGTTCGGAATTATAATATAAGATTTGATGAGTTTCAAATGTTTTTCGTTCTTGCAGTGTAGTGGATTCAAAGTACAGCAGTGCAAAAATAATAATACATTACAGTCGCGAGAAAACCATAAATTTTACGGCAAAAAAACATGCATTACCGTGCATGTGTACATAATATCCGAAGAGCTGCAGCAGCGACGAAGCCAGATTAAAAGTTACGAAGTAAAGCATAATACCAGAAGCAAAAGACTAATCTTTGTAGAGACGTAAAAGCAGAAAAACCGAAAAAATAAATAGGAAAAGAGTGTGAGAGAGAAAGCAAAAGAGAAAGAGAAAGAAGTAAGAGTAGAAGAAACAACTGGTAGAAACATACTGCTGGGTAGACTCGGCCGTTTTTGCAAAAAATTTTGTATCGCCTGGGCTCATGGCTTAGCTGAAAGTTCAAGGTTTCAGATGAAAAAAGCCGGGCTAAGGAAGTCCAAAAAGTGACGGGAACCGGTGTCGACAGGCTCTTGAAGTTTAGAAACGTGCTTTGAACATTTAGCAAAATTGCTCTCAAAATGGCAATCATATTGTACATTGAATTAAATTTGTCGTCAATTGGAATAAAAGGGCACAAGTTTTGATGTTCAAAAGTTCTTTATTTTCTTAACGTTTCGGTCACTCGTTCGTGACCCTCTTTAGGAGAACTGTCAGTTGATAAAATTTTATTAGTCTAACAATACTTGCGTACTTCTAGACCGTCAACCTTCAACGCTCAACTCATATTGTAGATTGCTGACTTAGCTCTGAGGGTAAAATCTACATTGACAAGACGTTTTCTTACGTAATTTTATGTTGAAAATCTAATTTCGTAGTCAGTTTTGACCTAAGAATACGATTTCATTGAAAAAAATTCACTTTTTCGATATTTTTTATCTCGTTAATTTCGCAAAGTTCATCTTTAAACGTGCGGCAAATGAACAGAAAAAATCTAAAAAATTTTGTGACACTGCCAAAATTT